TTTCTGTTTCCAGTGATTGTTTGATTTAATGTTACTTATTCTTATGTACAGATCAACCAGTTTAGAAGAAAGTATAAAGTCTATGAGTCTCAGTCCAGAGGAGGATGACATTCCATGGAAAGATTTGCGTGACAACAGAGACCTGACGGTTTTGTTTAACTGGGATCCAAAAGACAGGTGGGTAGCAATATCCGCAACTGCGGAGTCACGCCTGTTCCTCACAGCACACGTGGCAAAGAAAATCCTTTCAGGGAAACTGCTGTATTTAAATGTTCTGTAGGCTGGCTAACTGCAAACTTAACAAGCATCACTCATCGCTTCTAGCAGTGCTGCCTTTTTACATATTAATACAGTTTCCTGAACTCCTGCCTCTTCATACAGTATTCAGTAACTTTGGGTAGGCTTTTGTACCTGAGTGAAACTTGCTGCTTTGCAAAATTGAAGCATTTGCCTGAAAACATTTGGTGCCTTTCTCTAGGGACATTTCTGAAGAACATAGGAAACTCTCACTGGAGGAAGAAACCGTGTGGTTGCGAATCCGGTCTTTAACTTTAAGGCTAGTAAGCGGACTCCCAACTCTTAGTCACACTATTCAACCAAAGAACTCTGAAAAGACTGCAGAGAACGGCGTCTCATCCAAGATCGATACAATTCGATCCCTGCTTCAGCAGCTGGAAGTGGCAGTGGATTCAGGGAAGAAGTTTCTAGAACAAAAAATTCAGGTACCCATTAAGGGAAAAAAGCTTTCCCCAAATATTAAGTGAACGTGAATGCAAGCAGAGAAACTTGAATGCATCTTGTAACGTCCGGCAGGCTGCAGAATGCACTTAACTGACCCTGAGTTTGTAGTGTATGAATCTGACTGAGAGATGTGCCAGAGACAAACACTGTGTTCTGGATAAGGAAAAGCTGCAACACCTTTATCTTTTTCTTTGCTTCTTGCCTAGTATCCTGTCCTTGGCCCTCCTCCTACCCGAATGGCTGGCTTCTTCAGTAATGGCAGCTGTCAGTGCCAGACTAGCTTGTTTTATCTTGTTAGTGATATTTATGAACTAGATACCAATGGCTTAGGTAAGTGTTTGAGGGGCAGGGGTTTAACCAGATTGTTACAATGGGTGGCGGGAGGGAGCAAGATGTGTCTCCATTTAGTTTGAAAACTACTAGGCATTGGATGATGTGGACCCAAATTAATTTTCTGAATAACACTAAGTTATCTGAGATGATACCTTAATGTTTTATGAGAGTTTTCATTTTTGTACAGTATATGTTGATATAATACTGCATCTTCCTTAAAAGCAGTTGCATTTGCTTTTGACTGCTAACGCTAAATTACATTTAAATGCCTCTTGGTTTTCTTGAAGCAGAAAATACACAATCTTGTAGTTTATAACTACTTTCTTTTTTTCCTTTCAGAAGATTCAGCAGAAATCCAAGAGAGGATAGGGAATAGTTTCAAGTCTTTAGTAGAACGACTAACAGGTAAATGGTAACTCAAGAATAAACATGGGTAGCTAAGGTAGTGCTTCCTGCTGCTCTGAGGATGTGCTGCTGAGTGTGCTGCAATTGTGGGGGAGTGTGTTAATGCATCTGCAGACCCCTTTGAAAGATACTTGAGAGCAAGGCTGAGATTCCCCTTGGCTTGTCTGGTCATGAAGCTGTTGCATGCCACAGAATGTCATTTTGTTCTATCGTTTCGCTGCCTTTCATCCTTGTCTTAGCAACTGTTGTCTCCCTGGTACTTGGTCCAGGGAGTGGAGGTACTGTTTGTAACGAAAATACAATTCAGAGGAAACTTCAGAGCTGGACCTACTCAAGAGGCTTTGGCCAAATTTATCATTAACTGCCTAGTGGTCAGTCCTCTGACAGCTCTACACACTGCATTGAGATACTTACTGTAACAGAAAGTACGTGTTTAAGTTGGTCTATGTGTCCTGAATATGGCTTTTCTTTTTTTCTTTTCAGACTTGTTTAATAAATGTAAAGGTGATTTGATTGAAGTCAGAGATGGCACCTTGAAAACACATCCAAACCTGTTAGAAAACCTAGTCTTCTTTGTTGAGGTATTTTTTTCCTTTGAAATCTAGAAATTTTGGAGTACTTCAGGGTAGAAATGTTGGGACTAACACACAATGAAAGTTCTTTGATCTCAGTCACTCATAAAAGCAGAGGTTTTGTTGCATATTCTAACTAGTGTGAGTCTTATCAGTAGGAACACTAAAATGAGTTTAGAAGCTTCCTGTAAATGCAACTTGTACCTTTTTTCCAGACGATCTCCATTGCCCTGTGGGTATCAAGTTACTGTGACAGTGTTCTCCGACCTTTTAAATCCAACCTGCAAAAAAAGAAGAAGAAAAAAAAGGAAAGCAGTGTAGCTATGGTAAATAGTATTCCTTTCTTTTCTCTCCCCACCGCCAATCCAAAAGCATAGTTATACGGAAGGAAAAATCAGGATAGATGATGTTAAAAAAACCTGTTTTTTCATAAATCTCACCTTGTAGAGGCTTACACAGGTTAGAGATTACTCAGTACTAATTTTTAACACTCCTTTTCTGTTTAAAATCAAATGGTGACATGCTACATCTCTGATATCACATGACAGCTATTTAATAGCAAATGGTTTAGGGTGTCAAGGACTTTCTGCCTTGATTGCACTACAGTAAACTAGATAACTGGTAGCATTTATCTGGGTAGGTAGATTACAGTTTAGATTGGGGGGGATAGAATAAAATGATAGATGTTATGAACTCAGTTGTCAAATAAAATAATCATTTGAATAGGCATTAATATGTGTTTGTAAATGTGTTTGTTTTTATAGCCACCTGTATTTACGCATTTTCTGGATTATGTTACTGAACTACAGACATTAACTTCCAATGTAATAGATCACATCAAAGGGCTTGAAATAATTCTGACTGCACTAAAACTTGAAGAGCTGTCCCTCAAGGACACTCTGCTTTTACAGGTAAGAACTTGCATCTTTATTTGTGTGCTCTATACATTTATCTGTGACCAATAACAACCTGTATGTACGTGCCTATGGGATAACTTTGTTGAAAGCTTCTTTTCCCAGAATGTTTTACTGAAAGGGAAAAAAAAAAATAACCTAATGACCAGAGGTTAGGGACCAGACTACTTAGTTTCAGAGTGGTAAGTTAAGGGTTTGTTTTTTTTTATAGTGGCAGTGACTTTGCCTCACTGCACCTGTTATGATTGATTTAATGACTCTTGACCAGAGGTTAGGGACCAGACTACTTAGTTTCAGAGTGGTAAGTTAAGGGTTTGTTTTTTTTTATAGTGGCAGTGACTTTGCCTCATCTGATCAGCTCTAGCTTGCTGCACAAAATCTCAAAAAATGAAATTTAAACACAGGAGTTCAAAAATACTTTCATTTTTTGTGGTATGCTAGAGAAGAAAAACTCAAGATTTTAACATCAGTTTGTTGTCTGTGATATGACTATTATCTATATTTTAGCATGCTGTGATGGATGCAAAGCACTTATTCCAGGAAATATTTGAGATTCACCTGCTGCTGATTAGTCACTTCCCTGGAAACAATTACTTGATTATTTTTTTTTTAAGAAAAACAAGTGGCAAGACCCCCACCTCCCCCAGCTATATAGGGAAAACCAAAGGCAGGAGTAATAGGCACTACTGCACATGCCAAACCTCATTCCCAATTTAGACATGTGAAGAGGAGAGGGACTGAGTTAGCCAGCTTGTGTTTTTCCAATTAGATTGTCCTGTTTATTTCATAGCACTTTACTTAAAATTTCCCTTTTCTTGTTGCTGTATGAGGTTGATGTAGAAGTATCTCAAATATACATATTAAAAAAAACAAACTGCAAGAACAAAGAAACTGATAGAAAGCAAGGAAATACCTTAGACTGTATTTAGTGCGAATTTGAATAAAACCTAAGTAGTACATTTTCCTAATACCATCAAAGAATCTTCACTTTAAAGAGATAAGACATTTTCAGATAACTGTTGAATTTGTAATTTTTCTGGTTCCTCACTGAGTCAGCAAATCCTCAAGGCATCCAATTACTACACAAGGCAGATCTGCAAAACCCAACTCTTAGATTTACGTGGATTTGAGCAGAAGCATCTGTGGGAGTCTGCAGCTTTTCCTGTGTTTGTTCACGATGTTTGCTATTCTGTTTGTTGTTTGACATTGTCGTGGTAAACCCTGATAAACGCAGTCTGTAGCTCCCCTCAGACCTGGAGCTATGTTTGCAGCTCTATGTGTTTAGAGCTAAAAGTTGCTTTTTCAGAAGTCCTCATGTTCAGGTTATTAGTGAAAATTCTAGTGTGAATAGAGTGCTACTGGCAATGTGTCAGTTCAACCTTGCTGGTGACGTGAGATTTTCCCACATCGGATTGGTTTGCTCAGGCTGTGCCTCACAGGCTTTTCTGCTGTCATGTGTACAAGTGACTGGTAAAGGCATCCTGGTAGCAAGTCACCTCTTGACAGAACAGTGGTTATGGCTGCTGCTTTGGGTACCAGGATTTACTCTTTCTGTGTACAGAAATACAGCATTGTTCATGATAGGTCTGTGCTAACTGCACTCTACCTGCAGGAGCAATGCCAGCAGTGTGGCACGGTGGTGGTCCTCCTAAAAGCCTTTTAGCATGGGGATTTTAGAAAACTGCACATTAAAGGGAATCTAATCCCTTTGGGAAAGCTAGGTACCAGTGTTGCTGTGAATTAGCGACATAAGAGCCTGTCCCAGTCACTGCAGCTCTCTGTGCTTTGGAATTTGGTGTAAGAGTCTCTTAGCTGTTCAGCCTTCATTTGCTGTTTGACTTCGCTTTTCTGTATAAGAAATTCTATATTTTAATAAATACTGACTAAAATAAAGTGCTACGTGCACTCTCAATTTCAGCCACAGATATCTTGCACAAGGATATTTCCAGATGTTTTGAAGAAATACTAATGTTTTACCAGCCCTGTCTGGGCAAAACCATTATCCCTAGGAATTATTGTTGCTGAGCAGGTGCAGCGTGTACTGTGCTGATGACATTCCCTTTGTAAACTTACACTGTGGTCCTCATGAATTTCTTATCAGTGTTTGAGATGGTGGGGGAAGTTTAACAGGAGGATTTAAACAGTTGCCATGGAGTGAATGATTTCTCTTTTGCATTTTGCAGGAAGAAAAAAAGTTTACAAAGACTGTGCAAGGGAAAGTCCAGAGCAGTTACCATCATTCAGTTCAGGAAATTGGAGAGCTGCTGAAAAAGAGACTTGATACCATTAAAAAACTAAAGATTTGAGAAATGCATCCTTGACAGACTCCACAGGGGAGTGACACCAGTTGTAATTTTTCTGGTTCCTCACTGAGTCAGCAAATCCTCAAGGCATCCAATTACTACACAAGGCAGATCTGCAAAACCCAACTCTTAGATTTACGTGGATTTGAGCAGAAGCATCTGTGAGAGTCTGCAGCTTTTCCTGTGTTTGTTCACGATATTTGCTATTCTGTTTGTTGTTTGACATTGTCGTGGTAAACCCTGATAAACGCAGCCTGTAGCTCCCCTCAGACCTGGAGCTATGTTTGCAGCTCTATGTGTTTAGAGCTAAAAGTTGCTTTTTCAGAAGTCCTCATGTTCAGGTTATTAGTGAAAATTCTAGTGTGAATAGAGTGCTACTGGCAATGTGTCAGTTCAACCTTGCTGGTGACGTGAGATTTTCCCACATCGGATTGGTTTGCTCAGGCTGTGCCTCACAGGCTTTTCTGCTGTCATGTGTACAAGTGACTGGTAAAGGCATCCTGGTAGCAAGTCACCTCTTGACAGAACAGTGGTTATGGCTGCTGCTTTGGGTACCAGGATTTACTCTTTCTGTGTACAGAAATACAGCATTGTTCATGATAGGTCTGTGCTAACTGCACTCTACCTGCAGGAGCAATGCCAGCAGTGTGGCACGGTGGTGGTCCTCCTAAAAGCCTTTTAGCATGGGGATTTTAGAAAACTGCACATTAAAGGGAATCTAATCCCTTTGGGAAAGCTAGGTACCAGTGTTGCTGTGAATTAGCGACATAAGAGCCTGTCCCAGTCACTGCAGCTCTCTGTGCTTTGGAATTTGGTGTAAGAGTCTCTTAGCTGTTCAGCCTTCATTTGCTGTTTGACTTCGCTTTTCTGTATAAGAAATTCTATATTTTAATAAATACTGACTAAAATAAAGTGCTACGTGCACTCTCAATTTCAGCCACAGATATCTTGCACAAGGATATTTCCAGATGTTTTGAAGAAATACTAATGTTTTACCAGCCCTGTCTGGGCAAAACCATTATCCCTAGGAATTATTGTTGCTGAGCAGGTGCAGCGTGTACTGTGCTGATGACATTCCCTTTGTAAACTTACACTGTGGTCCTCATGAATTTCTTATCAGTGTTTGAGATGGTGGGGGAAGTTTAACAGGAGGATTTAAACAGTTGCCATGGAGTGAATGATTTCTCTTTTGCATTTTGCAGGAAGAAAAAAAGTTTACAAAGACTGTGCAAGGGAAAGTCCAGAGCAGTTACCATCATTCAGTTCAGGAAATTGGAGAGCTGCTGAAAAAGAGACTTGATACCATTAAAAAACTAAAGATTTGAGAAATGCATCCTTGACAGACTCCACAGGGGAGTGACACCAGAGTCCCAGAAGAAACATCCAATATACCATCACTTTAATCCAGAACTTCCTCATAATGCATGAAGGACTTAAAAACATAAACCAATTTTTTTAGGTATTACAGATGTATTGAGCTGATTTAAATTATTGTACATAAATGAGAAGCAGGGACCCTTATTGGGGTTTGACCACTTTTTATACATGTTCATAAGCATATTGCAACAGGAGAAAATGAACTTTCTTCCCTTTTGATCTCTAGAAACAACTGGAGATGGTCTTTAGAAGCAGCAATAGAAATCCAGTGTAAAGCATATATCTCAAAGAAGTTGTATTTTCATCGCCATACAGTGTTTATAATTTTTGTATGGTCCTTGCCTTAGAAATGCAGAAATTGTAGATGCCCGCATTCAGCCGCCACCAATGAATTGAGCCTGTTTTGGAGCTGCCTATTTTGTCCACAAGCCACCTGGTCCTACTGAATTAATTCAGTGTGTTGGTCCGACGGAGAGAGGTGAGGCTGCAGTGAAGGAACACCCGTCTGCCTGCAGCCTTCCAGCAGAGCCCAGCCCTCCGGCGCAGGGCGGGAGGGTGATGAGGCAGGTTTCTCTAAGGAGAGAACTGCTCGAGGGAAGAGGTGGTGTCAGCGTATATACAGGTGGTTTTCACGTTCAGAAAAATTGCAAACCTGATAAGGAGCAAACTTGGCCATTAAGCTTTAGAGAGAGAGATGGGAATCAGTGTTTCAGCGAAAAAAGGACAAAACCGGAGACCTTGTATATAATAGCTGCAGTGAAGTCTGACACTGCGGTCTGATTTCATGTCAGTTTAATGTAAAACAGCAATTGTCATGACTTTTAAGAAGTGTATTTAGATTACTGAAACTTTAAGACTTAAATATTTTAATAGAAATTAAATCCTATTGGCTTTGGTTTTAAGTTGGCAGAGGTGACTTTTTGCTTCCGCTGTGGTATGAGGCTGAGAATACTTTTTGTAACTGTATGCTTGCTTTTTGCAGTTGATCTTTGTTTATTCAAGTACTAGCTCATTAGGCTTTCTGTTAGAAAGTGCAATCGCATCATCTACTCCCACTGAATCTGCATTTCTGCTGGTTTGTTTTTGTTTTTTTTTTTTTCATTTTAAAGGAGTAATGCAGCCTAAAATTGGTAGGCAAAAGAAGTTACTGTACCTGCAATACAAGGGACAGGTCAGACTTTACAGATTCCTCATCTTCTGATTTAAAGCAGCTAGTATCTGAAGTCTATATTTAAAGTTTTAAGAGAGCTGACAATCCTACCTTTGTCATCTCTTCTGAGTATGTTTTGTTAGTAATGCTAGAATGTTGATGAGAGTATTTTTTTAAAATAAATCCCGTGTAAAAAAAAAAAAAAAAAAAAATCACATTGCTGCTCTTGCTGGATTTAGTTTTGCTTTGCCCCATCCTGAAAGGGAAAGAAGAATGTCTGCAGGTTGTCTAAATTGTAATGGATGTCCTGATGATCTAATTGTAATGTCTGGTAAGTGCTCTGGGCTGGAGGAATACCAAAATGTGTTAAGTCTGTTTTATAGTAATTCTTTTCCTGGAAAGAAAAAAAAGAAAAAAGAAAACACAAAAAAAGTGAACTCTTACGTTGTATAGAACCTTTTTGGAAAGAAGGGTGTGCTCCTTAAATTAAAGCAAGGCTGATGACTGAAGTTGATGCTTTGAGATGTGTAGGGTAAGTGAAAATAGTCCCATTGCTGACAGATGCAATTCACAGAGAAGCACTGAGCCAGAAATCTGCACTGCCCCTTTTCATTTAAGGAGGCAAACTGCCGTTGCTGATGTTCCTATCCCCTCTCTCCCCTGTGGCAGTGCGAGCTAGAGCGGGGCTTTGCGCAAGCACTAGCATTGAATGCAGAGTTGACACGTCACCCTCATCTGGAGGGGCTGATTTTTTGCTGGAGTTTCCTTTCACTGCTGCTACAACAGGATAAATTCAAGCAATCATACATTTTCAGCATTTGCTTATTGATAAGTGAAGTGTAAGGTTAAAATAACCAAGCTCTTAAAATCCTCCCACGTGCCTGAAAGCAGAACTTGCTTTTTAAAAAAAGGTTTTCTGCATCAGCTCTCTTAAAAGCAGAACTGAAACTGCTTTTGGGGGGGGGGCGGGGGTGAGACGTGTGTCATCTGAAGCAAAGTCTGAGAAGAGATAGAACCATGGCTCGCTCTCGCTTCCCATCACAGCATTTGGCATGGCACAGGCCCAGAGTCGGGCTGGTCACAAACCATCCCCATGCCAGCACAAGGGGAGTACTGGCTGCTGCTCGCTGTTAGCTGCTGTCCTCTTCCCAGTTCCACTCACTGGTGAACCATAAGCTTGTCAAACAAATACAATGTTTTGATTACTCAATGTTTTATAAAACCGGGTGCCATCCCTTCACAAGCTCTATAGGAGACGATGTACAAAAGTGACTACGTACTGACTGTTTGGGGGCTTGGGTGAGGGAGAATTTCTCTCCCCCTATAAATTGTGTAAAGTTAGATATATTATATATTTCTTACAAAAGAGCATTTTCCCTCCAGAATATGTCCCACAGCAAACTGAAAAGAAATTCAAGCTATAACCCATTGCTGCTGTTGCCCCTTTTCCACTCTTTGGATTTGTTTTTTTGTTTTGGGTTGTGGGGTTTTTTTTGTGATTAATTGAAAAACATACCTAGAAGAAGTTACCAAGACTACTGTTTACAGACTGAAAAAAATACTGCTTTTATACTACTGGGATCATGAGCCAGGATCCTTTTACAGATTTCCTTAATTCCTCTTTGCTTAAAAATGAGTGTCTGATGTAGATTAAGGTCAGAAGTCCTACCCTGCTTTGTCTACATACAGGACAAAATGTACAATGCCTGTTTGTGTTGCCCATCATTTTTGTACTTTTTAACTGTTCAAAAATTGCATTTATATTTTGCAGTCATTGGTAATCATTATTTTATTTTAACCGCTAGTAATGTTAGAAGGGATTTTTTTGTTGTATCTGCAGCCTTATCTGAACGTTCTCTTCCTTGATTATTCATTGTTAATTTATGACTGTAGAAGATATGTATGCCTCAGCCTTCTACGGACTTAAGTGACACAACTGCAAATGATCTGCTTTAAACTGGATGGGTTTATAATTTATATAAAAGTCAGTTTCGTTACAAATCAGTATTGCTGCCTCTTTCATTTTTCTGCCTAGATGGTCTGGAAGTGACTACTGTCTAGCTTTGTGAGCCGCTTGGTGAAGACAGATTATCCTGGGGCATGGCAAGCAGAAAATCAAGTTAACCTGCAAAGAGGGAGTATGGAAAGGGGAGGGGGAAGTGGGGGCAAATACTTTTTGCTTTCCAGTTGCAGACTCAGTTCAGAATGATGACTGCTGGGGGGGGGGAAGTTCGGATGTATCTGTTTTTTTGACGTGATCATCTGTCAATCTGCTGCTGAGGCTTTCTGCAGCGCTTGCTTGTACTTCATCATGGCTTTCAGTGATAGGGAAAGTGCACTAGATATCCCCTCTAGTAGCACAAAGAAAAAAAAAGTGCTTGAGAGGGCTGTGGTGATGCTGCTGCATAGAAATGTATCATGCACCACCAGCTGCCCTCCTCTCCAGCTGTCCCTGCTAATCTCTGCTGGCCGTAGCGCTGCAGCCCGTCCTGCAAGGCCAGATCCTGCAAC